ACATATATCAAAAGTACATGGACTGTATTGAACAAATTAAAAGTTAATGTACGACATTGTACATAAGACTAAAATTCAGGAGCCAAATTGAGTAAGTTAAAAGTTCAGGACCATTCGTGTCATTTTTATGTTATGGAAAGGAAAAAGGAAGAAATATCAACTGCCAGATGAAGCAGTTGGTCAACTTCGCTTTACTTTCCTTCTCCATCGGATAATCTAAAGGAAAGAACGAAGATCTCTCTAATCACAGTTTTAGTCAAAAGATTGCTGCTTGGAATTGACTTTAAGACCACCAAGCTTTCCCTGCAACTTTTTCCCTTTCGCATCTCCGGTGCTAAAGACCAAGCGGAACCTTAAGACTAGCAGACTTATCCGGCAGGCGCGACTAAATCGATGCGATGAATTCAGTGTATCGGAAACTAGATATAGGAAAGCGGGTACCGGTTCAAGGGAAATCGAGCTTCATTTATGCATTCCAAAGTAACAAGCCAAAGTAACATAAAAAGCTTCATCTATGCATTCCAATGTATAGCTAAAATCTCCAAATCACACCACTAGAAGAAGCAGTTAATGTGCAGTCAAAACCCAAAAGAGACAAAAAGCACGAGCTTGCAGAACAAAGTTTAGGGTAAGCTGGAATGCACGGCTTGTGTTAATTTCTCGAAGACTCAAATCACATCACCTTAGCAAAAATCAGGCCTGCCCTTCTTCCTAACACAAATGCAACCCCTGATGGGATCCCTGTGGATCCTGATCTCGGAGCAGTCCCTCAGGTCCTCGAGGCTCAGGTACTGCTGCTTCACCACCCGCGTGAAGTCGCCGCACGTGTCGTTGATCCAAATGTAAGGGTGGCAGGCCTCGTCGTAGTAGTACAGCAGGCTCCTCATGCCTCCCCCGCCGCCGCCGCCGCCGCTCGCCGACGGCCCGCCCGGCCGCCCGGGCATGTAAGCCTTGTAGATGCTCTTGCACTTGAGCCGCTTCGACGACCCGGGCTTGAGGGTGTGGACCTTCTTGAGGATCGAGCCGACCCGGACCTGGAGCTCGACAGGCCGGTCGCTGAGGTTCCATATCCGGGTCCCGAGTCCGGAGGACTGAGCGTGGTCTCTACACCCATCGAAGCAGCCTCCTAGAGAGAAGATGTTGAGTTTGAGCTTACTGAGTCCACGCATTGCTCGGTCTTCTCACTCTTTTTCGGGGGCGATGAAGGTGGGAAGCAAAAGTGAGTGCGAAAGGAGTGACCTTTGATGGCCTCAAATTTTGGAATGCCATGACTTTGTGGCATGTGCTGGTGTATATTGCAAATTTGCATTTATCAACATTTCTTGGTATGTTCCCTATAGCTTCATGTTATATAATAATTGCCCCTGATAATTTCGTAACGCGTGGTTCAATTCTTTTCTAAAAGACATGCCATAATTGAGGGTTCGATATAAACTTATTAAGTTAATGAGACCCATTGAATTGGTAGCGACTCCTTCAATTGCCTTGATTATGATATTGGATTAAGTTACGACGCGTCTTATTTATATTTCCTGGATACTATTCTGGTGTCGAACCACAGCAGTATGACGTCTATCTCAAAAGAATTGTTGTGGTCGAGTGAAAAATGGAAAGAGCAGACGGGAAAGTGATGGATTTTGAAAATTGCTCTTCATCTTTGAGTACGTAAAGATTTGGAGTGATCCATCATAGTTGATGAATTTCATGTTAATATGATATGTTCCAAGTGATTTATTGGGATATGCAATACGAAAGAAAATGGAAAGAAGTGAGCCCAACAAGAATGACCAAAAGAGCCACAATTTCCTGAACTTGCACAAATTCAAGATTTTCTGTGGTCTATTTACAAATTCACCAAAATATAGTGTGGTTGTGTAATTTATTCTCATGTATGCCTATCCATTTACCATGCATCATGTATATGTACCCTGTTTTTGGTCCATATAATTGTATTCATTATTTTTTTTCTTAAATTCCAATAATTTGTCAAATTTCGATGAAAATATTTAAAAAAAAATTTAACTTTTCACTTTTCCTCTTAACTCAAACATATAGACCCTTAGATTTGGGGCCTTTCATGGAAGGTTCAATGCCTTCTCTGGTCTTTAGATGATATGACATGAAAGTGGAGGGTAGACATGGAGATGCAGCACTTGGGTGAATTTCTGCAATTTTGCTTGTGGGGGTTGAATCATGCCCTTCCATCAAGGAACCGGTAGGGACCCAAGAGCTTCAAATTTCAACGCATGAAGGCAGTGGAAAAGTTAACAAAACTTGGGGGGGTGGAAAATTATAATATTAGGTAGTAAAGTGGCTTTTTTTCCGTTTTATTTGCTAGGGGAAAAGAGATATAGACTTGGACCCTGCTGGGCAACCAAAGTTGTCATGATGAGACTTCATATGATGTTGCTTCGTCTTTCATCATTCCAAGTGCTTTTCTAAGTGCAGTAGTACTGTTCAAGTCTCTCTGAAAAAAAAAAGGAACCAAACTCTACTTTTGATCCCCCACAGTTTAGGACATTTTCTATGGTTCTGTATTGAAAAAATATGAGTTTGGTCCCATTGAATATGAGCTGTTAGATTAAGAGAGAATGGATTTCGACGGTGAATGATTTTTGGGAAGGTAGAAACTTACGTATGCTTAAGAAAAATTATTGATTATAAGAGTGTCGATCTTACTATTGATTAAGAAAAGTTCCGATATATGAGGATAATTTTTCATCCTGAAAGGGCCCAAAATTTACAAACATATAAAAGAATGTTAGAATCATTGAGTAAGTTGTTAAGAATAGGAAAAAATTTACAATATACTCGTTTTGATTCCATGACAAGTTACGAACACTAAAAATTCAACCGTGGGAGACTTTGGGATAACTTGCAATCTTCGAAAAATGATCAATAATTTGTCATTTACACTGATTTAAAGGAAAATTGCAAGTATTGGTACCATCATTGACAACAATTTGTGGTGCTTTACTGTACTATTAATTAATTACTGATCTCAACATTTTCCTGTCACAAATTCTATAGACAAATTACTGTCCATAAGGGCACAATACTAATTGTAAGTGACAACGAGTTATGACAACTATAGGTAAATTACGGAAAAATTATCCAAAAAATCCTAAATCTATTGTATGGCTCGGGCAATTCAATCATAAACCTTTTAATTGTGCTAATTTAGTTCTAAACCTTTTGACAACTTGCTAATTTAGTCATAAAAATTTCAAATGTGCTAATTTAGTCTTGAAACTTTTGACGATTTGTCAATTTAGTCACAAACCTTTTAATGATTTGCCAATTTAGTTTACTAGCCAATTTTGATTGGAAAACGCTGACGTGATCAATTAGTCAATGCCGGCCGTCCTACGTGTCACAGCCAGTGCTAACGTGGACAATTTTTGCATTTTTTTTCCTTTTTTTCCTTTTCTCTTCTTTTCTCTTTTTCCTTTTTCCCCTTTTCCCTCCGCTCGCCATTGCCGGGCCTCGTCGATGGTCAGCGGAGGTTGCCAACCTTGGGCAAGGGATGCTCAAGCGGGATCGGGATCTACACGGGCGACCCTTACTCAAGGCCGACAACAACGGGCCTCGCCAGGCTAGGTGCGGGTGTCCCTTGCCCGAGGCTAGGAATGGCAGCCTTCGCCTAAGGCCAGCAGAGGAAAAAAGAGAAAAAGAAAAAAAGAAAAGAAAGAAAAAGAAAAGAATTCATAAATTTAAAAAAATTATAAAAAATTGTTTATGTCAGCGCCCGCATGCCACGTAGGATAGCCGGCGCTGACTAGACTGTCATGTTAGCAATTTATGGCCAAAATTGCTCGGAAGGACTAAATTGGTAAATCGTTGAAAAGTTTAGGACTAAATTAACAAATCATCAAAAGATTTAGGACTAAATTGACACAATTAAAACGTTTAAAACTAAATTGGCCGCCGTATAATTAGTTTAGGACTTTTTGGCAATTTTCCCGATAAATTAGGACTCATAAAGTTAAATTACTACATATAGATATACCAACCTTACTATGATTTCAACTAGATTTATGATAAATTTCAGGAAAATTACGACCTGTCATGGGACGGACCCTGTTTTTTCTTTTCCACTGGACCCTAGAAGCAACCTGCGAGGCGTGATTAGCTACATTCCCTTTCTGACAAGCGACAATTCCGCTCCCTCTTTTTGGTGCTACAAATGTAATGGTTGATGAAAGCAATTGCCAGGGCCATGAGAACATTATAGACCATCATGGCGTATGATCATCAGGATCAGTGATTCTTGATTGAACTCAGACCCACGTCGGCAAAAGAAAATGCCAGTCTTCAAGCATAAAAAATTTGTTAATTTCGAATGATATACATGAGAGTTTTACAGTAATTTTCAGATTCAGAGTAACATCCGCACGAGGACCATCTTCTGGTGTGGCAATGGGGTTCACCAGCTCTGATATTAGTCCAAATAATGGTGTTAGGTATGCTCAGATCAGATCTGTCCACATCTATCGACACTGTGCACTAAATGCTAAAAGATTTGCGGGCAAACTTTGCCCAGTCTTGCAATCTTTCGTTCAGGACCCATGTTCACGCTTCAGTCCAACAAGTTCTGTCCTTGCCATTAGCCGTAATATCGGCCACAAGCTAACATATGATAATATAATAGTAATAACAGTCCACATCAAGAGCCCCAGTAGGAGACTTTAGCAGTCGATGATAAAGCAACTTTCAGGACAGCTGTCGTATCAGATGAATCAATTTGCTCTAGCAATTTGAAATTGGGAGCAAATGACAGATTATGGGGGAAAGCTTGCGGCTGACAATGAAATTCTATCTTTTTTTCACTAAAATAAGGAGCCTTTTCCCTCTGCTTACAAATTTTCCAAGGAAACTTTGGCTTTTCTAATGGCTTTTCTTGATACTTGCTCTTTGGATCCTTAGTTTAATACAATGATGCATAAGCAGCAGGCCAGCAAAGATGCATCAAATAGTACTCATGGCACAGAATGAACTACAAAAAAAACGAATATTTCATTGAGATTTTTATGATTTCATTCGTTTAAAAATGAGAGAATTTCTTGTTCATGCTAAAGCAGAAAACTGGGACTGTACAGTAGATGTATCACAAGCATCGAATGCTGAGAACGGCATGTGGAGGTTCAAATGGAGAGTAACATCCTACAAAAATGATAAAAGGAGAAGAATTTACAGAAAGATGGATTCCTTTTCCATTTTTTTTTCACTGTTCGTGATTCTCTTCAGAAGGTTCTATCTTTATGACAAGAGGCTGATTCAGGTCGGCAACCGGTTCAGCCACTATAGGCAACTGTGATGTCGCTAAAACTCCATCAAGATCTTCATTTTCGGCCAGAGCTTTTTCCAAAGCCGCCTTGGCGACTCTAGTAATGCAGAAAATCAGAATAGCTGCACCAACAGCCAGAAAACCAGTCTTAGATCTCAAGCCAAGCGTCATAATTGAGTGATTAAACAAAAGCGTAACAGCAAAACATTTCTGCTCATCCAGTTCCACCTTTTTTTCTATGACAAACAAAAAACTAGAAAAGTTTTCCCCCATTAAAGCCCATAAGCCAGTGTATGAGTAAATCATTTATTGAGGTTCCGTTGCAGGTGGTGATCTCTGTTCTGCAGTGTCTATGGCAATCAGAAATGTCCAAAATATTACAGTCCATCTTTCAGCAATTCTAGAAGTATGGAGATTGCAGCGGTGGACATACAATGTGCAAAGGCAAAAGGAAATATCCTACAAATTTTGGCTTTTCCTCGCTTTTTGATGAATAACACAATCATGGTATCTTGTTTTCCACAAGACAATCTTCAAGGGATATCTCTTAAGACTTCAGACCTCAGACATCAGTGACAAACTCTATGTACACACAAATGATCCTCAAAATGAAAGATAAACAGATTATAGAACACGAAAGGAGGAAACAAGGATGATGTCTATAACATCACTAGTTGCAACTCACCAGATACCACAAGGCCTAGAATGATTAAAACCTGCATATTACACATGAAGGAGAACGATCAGGAAAATATAAATGACAGAAGGAGCACCACATTCTAAGATGCTGACGCATGCATCAATGAATTGTATAACAAAATGAAGTCACTAATTGAATAATCAAGACACCGTAAGTGACAAAATAATACAAAAACAAAGGAATTAAGACACCATAAGTGACATGACAAAGGATTATGTTTATTGACCTAAGCAAAAAGCTTGAAGAAGAGGATCAGAGCTTTCTGACAGCAACGTGCAAATAACTTTTAAAAATGTGCCATACAGGCAGCATTTGTTAAGCAGGCTGCCATGAATCTTATAGAGACTGTACTCTGAACAATATTAATGTTTAGCACATCATGTTACCCCTCCAGTACCTTTTCCAGTATAATGTCCTTAAAAGGCATTGCCTAGAAAGCTATATAAGCTCCTCAACAGACTTAAAACATAGCCATTGTTTTGAATGAAGTGTAAAGGAGTTTCAAGGAGAACTTCACCAAAAGTTCAAATCTTGAGAAGCAAAATCTTGGTTAAAAAGTTCAAATGACTTCAAGTTAAAAGAAGCCATCATTACTCAATCATGAAAGTGACATACATTGGTTAGTGATCCAAAAAGAATTTCCTACCAGGTCCACCTCACAAGCATTCACAAAAATTGATGGCCATACACCACCCAAATGCATCTTGAGTGACAATCAACATGATTAGAATCTCAGATAGATAGTTTAAAAGCAAACATGGTTCTTAGTTATTTACCCAACGGGTAGCTGAAAATTCACTCCATCCATGTGTCACGTCAGAAAGATCTTTTAAAGTTGTCCCAACATACACCAGTGCGAGTGTTATAGGCTGCAAGAAAGCAATTTCATAGCTTTAGCATCTACAATGTAAAATTAAAATGCTAACAAGCCAGTAAAATACTAAAATGTTACTCAAAGGTAATTGGGGGAACCAACCAACGTGCAATTGCAGAAAAGTTCACCAGAAATCGAAGAGCTCAAGTGTGCACCCACACCCACACCCGCACCACACCATTTGTACAAGTGCAACACTAAACGAAAACCACATGAATATGGCAACTTGAGGTAATAAGCATTTATTATCAAATAGTTACCGACATTGGTATAAGATTTAGGCTAATGAACCAAAAATTCTCTGGCATGCATGTCTGGAGTCAGGACATCAAAAAAGCAATGAAAAAAGCTAAAGTAGGTATCCCGTAATTCTGCATACTCAATCCAATTCTTTAGTAGTCTTCACTGTTGCAATCGATAACCTTAATTTTTTTCCCCTCAGAAAAACCAACTAAATACACATGAATATTGGCAGAGCCACTCAAAATACATTTTGTTTTTTGGTGTTGGACCTACAGGAATGGACACCCCAGTTCTAAGAAGGCCAATCTTAGGAACTACAGAACGAGGTTTAAGCCACATTACCCTCACCCTCACATACATTCCCGATGTACAACTTCTTACACTCACATGTGCCTGACTGGTAAAGGGACTAATCCCCAGAGAAACTCAATTAAGGCCTACTTTTTTTCTGTAGTCAATTAACTAGCTTAGAAGAATTTGGAGAGTCATCCATGATAAATATGAGGAAACATTGCATAAGTATTGAGAGAACAAGTAATTAATTGCTCGTTAAGCCTTTTGTAGTCCTACACCCATGTAATATATAGCGTTTCTATATCAGTTCATGCAGTCAATTTTGTCCTTCAATCCCTCATTTATCCATCCCCAGAACCAAATTGTAGCTTCTTCAGATTCATCATGGCATTGCTGGTGTTGACATGGAAGGTAACAGTGTGCCATTAAGATCCCAATTTCGATGAACAGAGTAAGAGAAATATGCTTCGAATTTATGAACAGATCAACTACAACATGATTTTACTATTGTAAAATTACAAATGCCATATTAAAATGGAAAAACTAACTCAGCATTAGTGCTCAGGAAGAAATAAAATTACCATCATGCCTATCCAAGATGCCAGCATGTATTCCCCAATTGGCACTGGAGTCACAGAAAGGAGGTAATTCAACATGTTGAACGGAAGCAAGGGAACCAGCCGCAGCAGCAAGACAATCTGTACTAACAAAGAAGAAACAAGGTTATGTATCCCGAGTAGAGAATGGAGACAAATTAATCTATGCAGTAATATAGTCAAACCCCAATGACCAATCAATGCAGCACACCTTGAACCCAGATTTATGAATTGCAACAGCAACCGAGCGGAACCGAGGATAATCCTTTAATTTAGAAATAACGAATGATCTTGCAATCTGTTCAAGGAAAATGCAGTATATACATATCAACATCGGAATAATATAGATGCCAATCAAATAGGTATTAAAGCATGGATTTTGCTAATGAGAGTGAAAACAACACCCTTTTAAGTCAGTTATGTAGAAGTGCACAAAAGAAAATATATAACAGCCAAAAATTCACAAGTGATAAATTCTGCAAGAAATGATAAGTTAAGAAGGCAGGCACTCACAGTTCTGCCAAGGAGAAATGCAGCGCCGGCTCCAATAGTAGCACCAATGGAGTCAGCAACAAATCCAACGGGTAAGCCAAATAAATAACCACCACCAAGCTGAAAACAGTCAGAAATTAATGCAACATAAGGTCACGCTTAACTCAAACTTACACCACGAGCAAAACTTTGTCATTTGCTTTTTGCAAGCTTCTAAGACATAGGAGACCAAAGGCATCTCAGGTAGTCATGGTCCTATCGTATATTTAACATGGTTGTGATGCAATTACAAACCCTACAAACTGAGAAAATGTACAGCTCTTTTGGTAAAGCCAGATAAGTAACTCGGAGAAGAGAGATTCAATGCTTACGGTGAGTACTGAAGCTGGAACTGCCAACACTGTCAGTGGAATATATGCAATGGCTCTACAAAGTGAGAATTTAAACTTGAGATAATAATAAAAGCAATGGTTGGAATACTGCCACCCATTTCAGATGACTAATAAAATTCCAAGCATACTTTATAGCACAACTAAATTATTAACATGTAAGATTGGTAGCTAACTTATATGAAAGGATTGAGCAACTAAAAGATTACAACGCTTCTGGATACAAGCTTCACTTAAAACTCATTTGCTTTCAGCAAGAAAACAACAGATGCAGAAAGAACATCTACTGGTTAAGAAGACACCATAGCGCTACTAAATGTGAGAAAGGCCAAGTATTCTGTCAAATTGTCGTCCACCGGATGAGAAAGAGTTATACTAGTCCAGATCTTTGGAAACCCGAGTCATTGATACTCCATGCCTACAGTTGTTATACTTTTTCTTACATAAGCCTGATTAGTTAGGGTAAACTTAAGTTTCTTATCCAACATAGTAATACATAAACAACTGGCTAATTCATCCACAAAAAGCTACTGTCAAGGAAACTCTTTAGTATCGGGCGAAATGAGATTCATCAAAATGAATTTAATCCCCTCCAAATTTCTGGGCAAGCAATCTTGAGTTTATCAAAAAATTAGTTTCAGTCACCTAACTTTCATGTATGCAACTGCATTGCAATATTAACCATCAACTCTCTTGACATCCTCTCTTAACCAACCAAATAGCCAGTATCTACAGCACTAAAATTGATATGTTCAGAATGCCGTCATGAGGCTATCAGTCGTGTATTGTTTTGTAATTTCACAAGATTCTTGAACATAAATATCACTTGCAACCTTTGAGGTCATCATGAAGATAGAGAATTGGTTCAAGATAGACTACTCAACCAGAAAACTCAGAATCACTTTCTTTTCGAGTACCCAGTGATAAAAACTATAAAGCACAACTATTTGACTTACAAAACAAGCGGACCCCAAGGGCCAAGGTCTTGTTCAACCCATAACAAGAAATTCTTCAGAATCTGCACAAAGAGCCCAGTGATATCAGGACGAAACAATATCATAAGTGGGGGGATTTGGATCATTAAAAAAAAAAAAGCATGTTCCCCTTATCAAGGAAAGATTCTTATTCCAAAGAGTGTAAGATACCAGTGCTTTGTCATGACACCAAAATGAAAACCAGGGAACTATGGATGTGTAAACTACCACGACATATTTGTCCGGCATTGAATAGCAGGATCACGGGTTATGCACCAACTCCCAAATTCAAATAATAACTTCCCACTACAATAATTCAGAACGCAAGAACTGAGGTCTCAACCTTCTGTTCAGTTGGAATAAAAACCATGACTACCAAGAACAAATTTTAGTTTTCTTTCCCGACGATTTTGACGACAGAATCCACCACTGAATTCCAATTGATTCCATAAAAAAAAAAGAAGAAGCAGTAATTGAAAACAACACTCATCATATCATATCACATCATCTGATGGAATCCTAAAACATTGCTAGTCAAAATTCACCCTCTAACACACTCCAAAGAACACAAGTCAACCGACAACGCGAACAATCGAAAGGCCGAAACGCAATCGAGATCCCATCAGAAACCACACAAGCGAAAGCACATTTTTTTTTCCCACCAGAACCACATAATGCAGCAACTCCCAAGCAAATTAAAACCCCCGATCCATCGCCGAATCAAAGCTCGACGACATCGCGCGCGGGGGGACCGAACGCACGCACCCAAAAAAACCCAGATCAAGATCAAACCCAAACCCAACGGCGACGACGCCACCGATCGCAAGACCGCACCTTCTCGACGGGGAGGGTGAAGCAGGCGACGACGGCGGCGAGGAGGAGGGAGAGGAGGAGGGCGACGCGGAGGGCGGAGCCCCAGGTGAGAGCCATGAAGGAGAAGCGGCGACGCCAAGGCCTGCACTCCTCGTCGTCGTCGGCGCAGCCGGAGGGCGATTGCTTCAGCGACAAGCGAGCCCGCAGTCCTCCTATGTTTGCCAGATTTGCTCCCCTTTTATCACTCCATCGAGGCTTCCCCCGCTCGACCCACGATTTTTTTTGTACCGGCGCGGCGTGCGTTCTTGGATTCTTGCTCCTCCTCCTCCTCCTACCCCCCAAAAGAAAGTGAACGCGAAGGCGACCCTTCTGTGTGTACGCTTGCGGGGGGGTGGGGTAAAGATGGTGCTCCCGTCGCGCGAAGGAAGGAAATGGGTTTTCGATGAAAGATAAAGACGCGGCGCTCTTTCTCTCGGAATTTTTGCGAGTTCTTGGAGGGGCAAAATGGCGAACCGTCGAGCGCCTTCTCTCTCTCTAAAGTCTCTCCTTAGCTTTTGGGGGAAGTTTGGATGGACGTGAAAGCGAAGGCGCTCTCTCTCTCTCGATCGGGCTGTGCGGCCTTTTGCCTTTTGCTTGGAGGAGATAACGTGGGAAGAAGACGGAAGACGAAAGACCCGAGCTTGTTTCTTGAGCTTTTTTCGATGGCGAGATGCGCACGCTGCCTCCCCACGTTGGGGGAAGAGGGGGAAAAACGAGAACACGGTCGTTTCCACTGTTTTGACTCCTTGGTGGAACAACCACCGTTCTCTCTAATCCAAGCTCCTTCAGTTTATAAAGTCCTTTAGATAAGATGGGTTCCCCTTTTGCTGATTGACATTTTAGTGTCCAAGCGACTAAGATTTGAAGCCTAAGAAGCTAAGATTATCGACCCTCGTCGGGCAAATTTACCCTCCGTATTTTTTCTTCGCGGTGGCACGGCGCTCAACCTCTTCGTGCAATTTTGGGGTCGCGGCATTGTCTGTGCCATTGTCAAATTCTGTCACCGTACCCTTTCGGATTTAAGGAATTTCGTCGGCATTCTTCCCTTACCAATTTGAATGCTTTGGAAGCTTTTATCATTACATAAATCTCACAATATTCACTATGCTCCGCATTTAAGAAGTTGATAGTAAAAAATTGCAGAGCCATCGTAGGATTGGGCCCAAAAAGTGAACAAGAGTATTCAATTCTTTTGATTGGGCATTATCCTAAACTAGAAATGATGGGAGGCAAGTGATGCAAACCATTTCCAATTCCTTCGTTCGTTCGCTAACAACAAAAGCATCAACATTGCATTATTTATTCATGATTATGCAACTAAATTCCGCAAATCCAGGCACATGAATTAGATGTGACTTTAAGGACCCAAAAACATTAAAATTCTCCACAACAGCTTATACGGAAAAAGGTGAAATATGGTAAGATTTTCATACAAACTTCTCAGTAAGGGACCCTTCCTTGGAAGGTGGATGCTTGCTGTTAGAGAAACACGAATAATGCTGCTGAAAGATCTGCATCATATGGATATCACCTATAATATAGAGCTCTGATGTGTTAAAAATTTATCAAGGCTCCAAACTTAACATCAAGTCCCATATAAGGAAAAGCTTGATCTACCAAATTAATGCTCGCGACAAAGTGGAGATTCATACTGCACGCGCTCTATAGTGGGAATATTAAAGCAGCTATCTAATCCTGTGAAGCATACAAGTAAAAGATTTCTCGATACATGAAAAGGGGAAAAGAAAGGAAAAACAACAGCAGCTGACGCGTGGACGATGCGTCGACATACCACTGCACCACAACTGCAAGCAATCAAAGAACACTATGTACGGGAAGTGTATACCATCCATTTCAACAAGAAATGCGATTTGAACCATAGCTAATTGCTTGAAGGCTTGAATCAGCCATGTTTGTCATCCATCTTTGAGGACCCTTTGATTCCCCAGGTATGTTGTAAGCATATGACGGCCATCTCACATCTGTTCCACTTCCGCACGAGTTCCCCACGCCCATCCTCATCATCTTCTGTGTTCTCTCTAGAACTATGAGGCTTGAAAATGTAGAATAGCTATTCCCGACAAAAACATCGGCCCTTAAGCAAACCTCATAATCGATTGCTGACTTGATGAGATAAGGGTACTTTTCGTAAATTCCATCCACGCCCAATTTCTTCTTCTCGAATGGAAGCAACCCCTCCTTCCAACCACTCAGGATAGAAGAATCTTCTAGAAGGACGTCGGCCACGGCAAGATAAACAACAGTTGGAGTTTTAAGGCCTAAAATGTTCCCCACTCTCTCTGTAATCTCAGCCTTGCTACTACAAATTTGACTAACATTCAATCGTTGCTCTAACTTCTTACAATGAATCATCCAGTCTTTCTCTATCCTCATGTGCACAGCAACATAAGAAACAGGATGTAACTGATGCCCTTCTAAATGATTGTCATGCTGCGAAACTTGCGCCTTACCTTTTACCTCTCTGCCGACTTCTCTAATCTTGTCGATAACTTTATCTGCCTCTTTAGCAATCTCATCAACTAAAACTAAGCACTCAAAAATCCTCGCATAATCCTTAACAGGCCAATGATCATGCCACAAAAATGGATTCTTTCCGGTAATATGGATAACCTCGTATCTGTCAATTGGGTCCTGACTAGACTGCCTCAACTGATCCATATCTCTCTGGATAGTCCATCTCCTACCACTTCCCTTTTGTACCTCAAATGCTCCTGTTTGGTTGAAAACATCAGAGTAATGGCCCAATCGGACAAACCCATTACAAAGTGAATTAAACCTTTCAAACCGGAAGACCTTATCAAATGATATTGGCTGCAAAAGATCAACTTCCTTGTAAAACAAAGAAGCACTCAAGCTTGGCATCAGAAGAGTCCGGTTAAGCGTTCTAGCAGTAAGACAAGCCCTAGCAAATGCAATTTTCTGATTGTTCAACCCCCAAACAATTTGAGGAGCCTCCACAAATTTGTCCTTCCTGATTCCATACTCAGACATATACGACAAAGAAAAGTTGTGGCTTATTGCAATCTGATTCTGTTCAAATCCACCAAAGACAGTAGAAATGAAAGCTGCTCTAAGAACCAAAACAATGATTACCAGAGCAAAGCATTTACATGCAATGGAACTCAACGGAGGAAGGAGCACTTTCGAACTTTTAGATAACAAGTCCATCTAAGATTCACTGCCAGTTCTACTGTGTTCTACCAAGCAAACTACGGCTCTACTACAACCATGTCTAGATAAAAGGTGCACCGAGCCCACCAGATCCTCAGATGATAATATATGAGGCTAACCTCTGGTCAAGTATAACCATTTTATTTGTTTAATTACTCTGATTGGATCTAGAAACCATTTCAGGATTTGTCTGTTCGAAGGATACAGAGAGGTTTGAAAACCCATTTTCAGCTCAAGCAAGAACAATCCGTGAAATAATGTCACGCCTATATGTAGTGAGCATCAACTTATAAAATAAGTAGACCCAGAGGACCAAGGTTCCGCTTAACTCATGAAGAGAGTTCCTCCAAAATCTGCAGGAAAACATGCTGTAGTCAGAATAGGGCCCATAAAATTAAAAGAGGATCAAGTAATACAATCATACTGCCCCAGAATCGCTCTGATCTTCCTAGAACTTGTGGAAATCCCCGTCCAATAAATATACCATAGTACGTGACAATTAGTTAATCACGATGCTACTTGCCAACCACTATTAAGCCTTTTCTCGCAAAGTTGGGTCAGAAGTTCACTTCAATAATTATTGTGTAGAGTACAAAACAGATCCTTTTATTCTTCACATAGTGTCATCAAGAGTGAAACGGCAATGCTTCATAGCAACAGATAACTATTAAAAATGAACTCTCCAGTGTTATCTCTGTCTTGAAAAGACGAAGTATACACTACAGTGCAGAATTCTTGCATCATCAAAACACAACAACAACAACCACAACAATTTTCCCTCTATCTAGTGGCTTCCGGAAATGTATCATGGACTTAAAAAAGGGAAGATTCCTATTCTAATAGCACAATTTGACAGCATTTCACAGCAACATGTGGTCGCATGGACAGGCAAGATCAGAGATCAATAACCCATTACCGAATCCGCAAAATAACCATCCACCACAACATTCAGAGCACAAAAAGTTGAGCTCAGCCTTCCATTCAGTGGGGGAGACAGCCCACGACATCGTCTAGAACAAGATTACATCTATTTTTCGAGCAGTTTCTATGAAAGAGCTCCAATTTCATCCAATGAAAGCCAAAATCACACCACCATCAGCTCAAGTCCTTCACCAGAGCTACGAATGAACACCCACATAAAGGGGAAGCGCAAACAATTCAAACCGGATTAAGACGAGCCCCAATTAGAAACTAAGCAAGCAAGTAAAGCGGCCATTCTCTCCTTCCACCTGAAGAAGATCAAGGCGCAACTTCCGACAGATTAGCCACGGGTCCGCCACCCAATGGAGCTCAATTACGAATGCGAATGCACACGCCACACAAAGGCAAACCCAAATTAAACGCAGACCCAGAAACGGGAAAACCGACGACGATGCAATCCGATCGATCAAGAAGGGAATGATCGAAGAGAAATTGCGAAAGAGAGAAGGAAGAGATCGAGGATGGAACCTTTCTTCCAGAGGGGAGAGCGAAACGAGCGAAGACAGAGAGTGACGAGGAGGAAGAGGGAGACATCGAATATTATATAAGTTGAATAATATATTATGATGATGATATATCAATACATAATTATTAAATAAAAAAAAAACACCACCAAAAATTCCAAACTATGCCACTTGTAACAAATTTACCCCGAACTTTTTTTTGTGACACGAAAAATCCAAAACTATGACACTTGTGACACATTTAACCCACAATACATTTATCCATGGGCATTTTCGTCTTTTTCTTTTTTCTGTTTTTTTTTCCTTCTCTTTCCCTCCGCCGACCACGGCGGAGGGAAGCCGGCGACGGCGACCCTCGCCCCCTCTCTCGACTCGGCGAGGGCTACCCTCGCCGGATTTGGCGAGGGCGACCTCTCAGGCGTCGGGCGAGGGCGACCCTCGCCCACGTCAAGCGAGGGTCGCCCTCGCTTGAGTCGGGCGAGAGCGACCCTCGCTCGCCCAAGCGAGGGCAGGCCTCGCCCGATGCCGGCGAGGGCCGCCCTTGCCGGCTTCCCTCCGCCGACCACGGCAAAGGGGAAGAGAAAAGAAAAAAAAGGAAAAAAAATAGAAAAAAGAAAAAGACGAAAGTGCCCGTGGATAAATGTATTGTGAGGTAAATGTGTCACAAGTGGCATAGTTTGGGATTTTTGGTAGTGTTTTCCCTTAAAAAAATGATTAGTTTAAAATTTAAATTCGGACTTTTGTCGATAAATTTCATGATGATCTTACGAATTGTAATAGTGTACTAAATATTGTAACACTTCAACTTATGGTTCCTTAAATCTTTAACATTTTTCGAAAGTTAAATTTAAAATTTCTCTAATCTTTGGTGAGCTAAATCTTTCTCATTTCATGAAAATCTAAATTCATCTTCCAAAGTAGACCAAAACTTCAAAAAAAAAAAACTAACTTTTGTTAATAAAATGTTATCTTTTATTTTTTTTCTTTTTTCATATGCAAAACGGGCATTCCTTTGCTGGTGTTTTTTTTTTTTTTTACAAATCCATGAGAATTTTGATCTACAATTCTCAAAGAGATGAAACACTTCAAATTGGGTTTACAATTTTTTATTTCAAAATTAAATTGATGAAGTATTTGAGATTTTTTATTTACATTAAGACTATCATCCATTAAACTCAAATTAAAAATCAAAGATATGTGTGGCGATTTATTCAGTCTTATTTCTTTTTATAAATATAAAAGGGAGCCACTATTTCCACCCCATTTATTAATAAAGCTACTTTCTTTGTAACTAGTTGATCAAAATACCCTTCAAATTAAAAACTCAACTTTTTAATGTTCTCCATTTATCTTCTTGTGGCAAGATCTCACTCTCTCTCCATTGTTTTTTGGGAAAATTCCAAAAAGGAGCCCAAAATGAAGTTATTTTCTCAAATAAGGACCTGAAGTGGATATTGTCTCAAAAAAGGGCATGAAATTGTCATATCAGTCTCAAATAAGGACTTGACTTCACTGGCCAAAGGGTGTTTTAATCTTTTACTTTTTGAAATTTTTTCTTTTTTTTTTTCCTTTTTCTATTTTTTTCTTTTCCTTTTCCTTTTCTTTTCCTTTTCTTTATTTTTTCTCTCTCTTCCCTCTGCCGAGGCCGGCGGCGGCCTAAGTCGAAGGCCGCCCTCGCCTGACACCGGCGAGAGCCGCCCTCGCCCGATGTCGGCGAGGGTGACCCTTGCTAGCCCAAACGAGGGCGGCCCTCGCCCTAGGCTGGCGGCCAGGCGTAGTGAAGGTTGGGAGGGAAGAAGAAAAAAAGAAAAAAGAAAAAGGAAAAGAAAAAGAAAGTAAACAAAAATATATACTTATAATGTTTTTTACTAAAATACCCCTTTTCCAGCGACGGAATAGTCACCGACCGGCCAAAGGTCCTTTTTTTAATACGATTTGGCCACTTCAAGCCCTTATCTGAGAAAATGACTCCACTTCGAGCACTTTTTTTGGAATTTTCTCTTGTCTTTTTTGGTTGAGTCTATCCTTTCTTAAGTTGATGTTGTTGCCGCAACTTGAAGTATTTCTTTTTTCTCGACCCAGATGAGCCAAGAGGTGAATAAAAGAAAATTTCATCGATTTTACCATCTCCTACAACAATCATCAGACTCTCTTGATATCACAAAACTTCAAAGGACTTGCCCCCGCCTCTACCTTTACCGCACGCCACCACCGCACGCCGCCACCGTCCCTTTGCTTTGACATGCTGTCGCCACTGCATGAGTCACTTTTCGAGCACTTGCCTCTCACCAAGCTTGACTATCCCTTTTCTCCCTCATATGCGTTCTGCTGAGCCTATATCTCTCTCTCCACCGTCGCAGTGTCGCCATGGCGCTTGACCACCGCTCTTACCTGCCTCCGGCTCCAAGCCATGCCACCGCAGCCCCGGCTCAAGAGCTCATTCGATGCCTAAAACAAATTCAAGGTCAGGGCCATCATTAAGCACGAGGCCAAGAGCGAGAGATATAGAGGGCATTAGCGAGAGATATAGAGGGCATTTGCGTGGACCCGTCAAACGTGTAGGTCCAGTCGAAAATAGTCCGACCTAAATCGATTCATATTAACCCATTTTAATGCAACACAATTTTAGCAACTCATACCTGACCCAACCTGGCTCCAATCCTTTGTATGAAAAATAGCATGCTAAAAACATAATCAATTAAAAATAATGATTACAAATTTAAATAAGAAATTAATAAAGAAAAAGACAAAGTATGTTACTAGAATACATGTCTTGGTACCAGAAATTTGATCTGATTTTGTCTTTTAAAGAATGTTTTTCTTTGACTTATTTTAGAAGATGAAAAGTATCCTTTACTGCACATATAATTTTGAGAAACAAAATAAAAGCATGTTTTTGTTTAATATTTAAGAAAGCATACCTAAACTTTATAAAACAAAAGAAAATAAAATATGAAAAAAAAGTTATAAAAAAAAAGGAATCTTCTTGTAAATCTGCCATTGAAGACCTGCAACATCTCTCGCAGCCACCAACGGGCCATCGTCATCGGTGGTTCGTCCCTATGGCCGAGCCAAGCCATCATCGTGGCAGACTCGTCACTAAACCATCATCTCCGTCTCCGGAATTGGTCTGTGAGGGCACGCTTGTGTTTTGTGGTAGCGTGTGTCGTGCTCAACCGCAACAAGGTCACGAGCTCGAGCTTTCAATATCGCGCTCGATCACTAATTTACGGTGAGGTCGCCAGCTCGAGCGAAGAACGAGATCTCAACCACACCTATTGGTAATTCTTTCATACAAAACCACCATATCAAATGCTATGAGAAAAGCCGAAGAGAGCTCATATAATGTCAGTACATCTTATACATTCCTAACCTTATCAGGTCTAATCTCGAACGTTGATTTAGCGATCCACATCCCACGTCAGGAACTTTCTAAAGTATGAGCGCGCAATTCCATTTTTGCAATTTAAGATACTTTACGCTTAATTACATTACAATAAAATCCCTTTACGCCCATGACCTTGCTTTCTAAAAACTCGATATTTATGGGAAATATTTTCTGAAAAATTCATTTTCGAGAAGAATAATTGAATTTTCCACCGTTCGGTCCAAATCCGAAGATAAGTTAGGAATCGTTTTCAGCCGCCTGATTTGGCCAGCCAATCTAGTTTCTCCAGTTAGCCCCACCGACACTAGTGCTAATCGGCCAGCCCGGATGGCACTTTAAGAGTAAAATCTCGAGTACACCAAGCGGGAGGTGGTGGATGCGCCTTTAAGATAGCCCGAAAAGGTAAAAAGCAGTCGAGGTTCGCGAAAGTTGACCCGAGTACCTGTCCGACTGCTAAAAAGGAAAAGGGGTAAAAAGAAGTGTCATCATTCCTATCATCTTGAAAGGCCCACCAAGGGAAAACTCTTCATTACGGATTGACCAAACCATTGCATGTAATGGAGTAACGCATCATCGCTTTGGACATCATTGCATAAAGGGCCCTGTCTCGGCCCCCTGCAAACGACAGAAGTAGAGACGTTTCTGATTCAAAGGGAGCTTATACAGCAGCTGATTCTTGTACACATGCCATCCAAATCAGCTGCGTTGAATCTGAGAACATCCAAGACAATGTACTCATCGAATGAAACTAGATCAGCACAGTCGTCGTCGTCGTCGCCGCGTATTTTTTTCTTTTGCAGATCCAGAACATTGCCATGAGATGGGGAAAAAATGGGGATGTCTGTCTGCTCTCGAGTGTTGCTGTAAAAGATCAATCACCTGAAACGCTTGAAGAAACTTAACATGCCTCTCAAGTCTTGAACAATCAGGAATTTCTCATACTATACAGATATCGATATATCGTGTATATGAAATAGTATACATACATCCGAAATCACCGAGGAAGCTGGAAAAATCAAAGAATGATGATGCTTTCATGCTAACGAACATCAACCAACACACTGAATTATGCTAGTGCTACGTACTTGGCCACCGACTACCGTGACTAAGCCCTCGCATCTTCGTGGTCCGCCATGTCTGCACTTTGTGAGACTTCGGTGTGTGCAAGAACATCTGTTCTCAGATGCTCTCTCCTCAGAATGTACCAAAAAAATTTTCCCAATCGAGGATGTTTTCCTTTTCCAATCCTATCTCGAGCATAGCACGTTGAGCAGCACATGGGCTAACATGAGATCCACGAAATACTGGTGCCCAATTTCCCCATCCCTCCATTTCATCTTTGCTGGGGCGCGGCCATAGTGGACACCGTCGTTGCACCGGTTATCAAAGTGCCACGGGTAGGTCAAGTCGAAGTTATCGATCACGCCGGATACCAACCCGGCTTGTCTGAACTTATCAATCACCACCCCATTGTACGCCTCCATCTTATTAGGATTGAATGCCAGCGCTCGGGCATAGCCACCTGTAGCCACTGTGGTACGATAGAAAATCCTCGGCACGGCCAAGCCCCTCTGCCTCACCCCCTCCATCACCTCTGCCCAGAAAGAGGCGGCATATTGTGCTCCAACCGAGAACGCCCTTACGTTGGTCCATTTGACACCGTCGTGCAAACCGGAATTCATGATTATGGTGTCTGGTACCGTGTCTTCCGAGAAGTACTTCTTCAATAAGCTGCGGAACCCTTCGTTCTTCAGTGAGTTGAGACCCTCATAATTTTGCGTCCCATTCCAATGACCATTAAAGATGCTCGTGATCCTGACAGATTGAGAAGAGTCTTTAGGGTTCGAAAAGTTCATGTCGAATCTTCGAGGGACTGATTGAATTTCGGGCAAATCCAAGATGAAATTGAGCATGTTCCTAATCGTGTCAACGTGATTCGAATCACCCCAGAAGAAGATCCAGCGGTCCTTCAAGCAATTCCAGGCAGCATCAGGCGAAAATATCTTGAATGAACAGTGCGCCGAATATACCCAACCATTACTCTCTAAAAGGCTTAACAAGCCATCGCACCACGGGCTTTGGCACTTGTAATCCGGCAGAAGGCACCGGTAACGTCCATCATTGCCGATTTGGCAATCATCGTTCTTGCCATGCCGGGTCCAGCGGCCAAACCAAAGATCCTTACTAAAATCAGATTTCCCACAAAGATGCAGCTCTGGCAGTTTCACCTCGTTCTTATAGAACCTGATTGAGACCTTTCTAAGCTCCCGATCAAACACGAACCGTCCCGGCGAGAACTTGAGCCCTTCAAAGTGCCTATACAGCAGGATGATCGTCAGATTGTAATCCCCCACGAAATCTGGATGAACCTGAAGCGAGACCGAATAAGATCCATTATCAAAATCCTTCACCAGGGGCCTCGACTTCCAAGACTCACCGGAAAGATCGGTCTCAAAATAATCACCACCCAGACACCGCAAATTTCCGGCCCCATCCAACGCGGTGAAAGCGAATTCGTGAACAGCCCCGGCCGACAATTCGATCGAACCCTTACCATCTATCCCGGGAATCGAAATCTCCTCCGTCTTGGAATCCCTACAAGGCTCACCCCCGGGAGCCAACCACCTCGTGAGGAGATTGGAGGCGAAGTTGGGCTCCAATTCGGCGGAAACCCAATCTGGAACAACTTCATCCACCACAATTTTCTCTTCCTTCTGGGGAGACTCCTCCACAAAACCACCAGAATCTGAGCTATCATTCAAATTAACCGAGACTTGGGTAACATTGCTTGAGAGATCAACAGGAAGTCGTCGTGAGGTGTTCGATGTCAACCCTTGATGGGTCACCGTCTGATTTTGATGGGTGTCAAACGATAGATCAGAATTAGAAGGTCGGACCTTTATGGACTCGTAATCTTGCCTAAACCTCCATGCGTCAAGAAGCCCGTTTATCGTGCACCCATCTATGCTCCAGACCACCAACATGCCCACAAACACAAAGGCGCTCAGCACCCCGAACCGCCAGTGCACCGCCGAGCTCGGCCGGTGGACCCATTGATGAAACGGCGGCGGCGGCGGCGGCGAGCTCGCCCCCTTATCCCGCATCTGGAAAGAAGGAAAAAAAAAACCACCACCACCACCACCAGAGGCAGAGCAGCTACAGCGAAAGCTACATACCGCAAGAGAAACAAACAAAAGATCAACAAAAGCAAGGAGAAAAGAAAAAAGGGTCACGCGGTTCACAACAAAGCAAAAGGTAAAGCTGTTCATTGTAGCTCAAGACATGCAGGGTAAAGAGCTCCCCCAAGAACGCGCGGAGGAGTCAAGAACAGCCACATTCCAAGACGGGTCTTTCTTTAATCCCTCAGAAAGCCTCGATCCGTGCACAGAAAGAACATTTTCTTTCTTCACGGGCGTTCTCGAGACGACCCTTATTTAAAGAAAACACAAGCGATGGGGGGAGATCGGTGCACACTAACATTCACTTACTGAGCCTCGTTTCTTCCAATGCCCGCAGGTGGGGGTTCTTGTTTCTTGCCACAGAGAGAGAAAGAGAGAGAGAGAGAGGATAATGCAGGCTTCTCGCGCAGGTGGAAGTGAAGGCGAAGGTGAAGATGCAGCCTCTCGTTCCTCTCTCTCTCTCTCTTCGTTGTCCGTGGTAATCCGATACTGGAGGAAGGAGAGGGAGAGAGTAAAGAAGGAAATCTAGCAAGAAAAGGAGAGAGAAACAGAACTCCTCCCTTCCTCTCTCGACGTGTAGAGATTCCGCTTGTTTAATGACAGCCAACGACAAGGAGCCCCAAGAAGTTTTCGGTTTTGTTTATCGAAGTTCTAGAATTTTGTCGCATAATTGTTTGCTTAGGAATCTTATAAAGTGAATAAAAAACACGGTGATTAATAATATTTTACAAGTTATTACGTAGCACGAGGGTGTAATTCCAAAAAAAAAAAATGCACCAACTTTAACTTGCGCAAATTCTGGCCCTAATTTTTTTTTGTATCATAAAAAATCACAAACTTTCGCTTAAATCCCAAATCTGGCCCGAACAATTTGAAAATTTAACATCACGGGGGTCAAATTTGGGATTCGAATAGAAATTGATAAGTTCGAACAAGAATTGTCACTCAAGATAAAGTTGGTGTTTTTTTTTAATTAGCACGTAGCACAAGATAGTAATTCTTAATCTTGTTTATTATGGTGGTACATCTGACTTTAGGCGAAATAAATACAAGTCGCATTGCATGGAAAAAGGGGGCTTCTTCCTTCTCTTCCTATGATAACGACTTCATTTGACGGTAGGCTCCATGAAATTAATTGATGGAAAAGTAGATACATCGAATAAATGAATTTTGTCCGCTTTCGCGAAAAAAAATTATGCCCTCGAGATTTACCGAAGTCACGTGGGACAAACTTGTCTGGTAAATAAAGATAGTTCGTTTGGGATTTTTCGACGACAAACTAATTGCAACTGTCGAGATCTTTCTATATTTATAAAAATACTAGTGAGCGTAATTCATTTAATCGAAGAAATTCTAAAATTGACCTATATCTAATTATTTTAAGAAATCGAAGAACCCATTCGAAAAAAGTCGTGATTCGATCCGTAGCCAAGATGCAAAGTGTCATAAGTCAAATGCTCAACAATGTTCACGTCAAAAAGTCGTGGCATCTCGGCCGAGCGGCGCGGAGCTAGCGAGCTAGAGTACCGTAGGGGGGCGGAAGGAATTCCCCGTGGGGCGGTAAATCGTGCAAAGACGAGAAAAGAGCATCCACGGCGCAAAGCACTCTCCTAGGCCGACACCAGCATTGAAACCGTCGAGCGTTTCATCAATTTTCCATATTACCGGATCTACGATCAGGCTTGGATTTTATATCGAATAGTTTTTTTTTTTTTAATTCGTATACGAAGTAAATATCAAGAATATCAAGATCAATCCACGTTATCGATATATATATATATTAAGCAATGTGACGGACCCTAATCGGAATTTTTATACGATCGGGCGACATTCACCACGTTATTGCTGAAAGAATTTACTCGTTAATGTCGTAGCACGACGACGAAAATCCGACGCCCTAGCTTTGGACGAAAGTGCCCCCTCAGGATCCTTGTCAACGTCAAAAGGGACAGCAGCGGCGACGACATAATGCGAAAACACCGACGCGCACATGGACAGTAAAGGAAAGGAAGAAAGGAAAGGAAAGAAAAGAAAGCTGGATCGACGGGGTGGCGTGTTTTGTGGGACCCTCCGGGGCGGGGGCGGGTCGGGTCGGTCGGGAGATGATGCCACCTGTCCTTCGGTTAAATATTTACGTTTCTCGTTTATTTATGTTCTCATTCGCATTTTTAATTAATTTTCTTCTCGGAGAATAAGAAGAAAAAACCAAGGTTGACCGAGGTTGATCAAAAGGGCCAGGCGAGCTTATTGTGTGTTTTTTTTTTAAAGCATTTATAGGGACGGGTACCATGGGAAATGTACGGGTATTTGGTAAATGTGTAGATATGATATTTACCGTTAGATTAAAGAGAATTTCACGGTTGTAATTCGATGAGTACTTATATTTATAGAGGTCTCGTCCCCTCATTCGTATCAGGGATAATGACATAAATAGTCCCTAAATTTTAACCTAATGTGCAATTTGGTCCCTGAACTTTTAATTTGTTCAATGTAGTCCCTGAACTTTAACCTAATGTTCAATTTGATCCCTGAACTTTTGATTTGTTCAATGTGGTCTCTGAACTTTTAATATATATTCAATTTAGTCCCTGAACTATATGAAAATATTCAATATAATCCCTGCACTTGAATTAACTGAATGACTATATTGAACATTTTCAAATAATTCAAGGACTAAATTGAACACATATTAAAAGTTCAGGGATCACATTGAACAAATCAAAAGTTCAGGGACCAAATTGAACATTAGGTTAAAGTTCAGGGACTACATTGAACAAATTAAAAGTTCATGGACCAAATTGCACATTAGGTTAAAATTTAGGGACTATTTGTGTCATTTTCCCTTCGTATCATTTCACAGAACTTTTCTTTCTACGATTCTTGTGAGTGTGGTGAGAAAAGAAAGAGGCCGAAAGAAAGAACGAAAGAGCCGAAGGTTTACTAGGATAATTCTATGTCGCCTAGATTATATAATGAAATTAAAAAAAGAATAACTGCTCACATATGAACTTAGCTCTTTGTGCTTGTGCAGCACCAATTGCTCAGATGGTCACTAGCGACTAAATCTCTCTCGCAATAACGGTCTCATATCTATTATGAGATCACGAATATGCTACGACCATCCCTGCGTTCACCTTGTGTTATCGCACTTCCTTTGTGACCATCACCGTGCAATGATCGTCACTCTTCTTCCCTCAATCATGTCGACCCATTAGTTTTTATAGATTCGGTGGTAGTTGTCGTCATCAATTGCTGCCCCATCAATAACCCCGCCATTGGGGCAGTGATTCTTCCAGTAGCAAGCCGATGCAGGGGTGAGTCCAAGGTTTTTTTCCCCTCGTACAGCAATTTCAATGAAAAATTTTAATCATTTTTTAATCCAATCCTTAGGGCATCAAACACTTGATGAGATTAACTATGCCCATATTCACAATTTTAGGAATTTCTTCGTCGATCTTATCTTATCGTATCTCAATTCGTATCTGGATAACTAAATGCAGCTTCGCTATCTGATAGCCAAAGTATACAAGACTTTCTCTTAAAAACACATGAATAAGCTTTCATATTATTAGCTGCAATTTTAACTCACTATCTAATAAAAAAAAACTATATTAAACAGTTGATATAATTTCTTATGATTTTAATAATTTCAACCAGTCTGCATCAACTACTTAGAGTTTGCCCCAGTGACTACCCTTCCTTCTTGGGAAGAGGGATGAGGGGAGTTCGAATCCCCACCTTCTCAAGGAGGGTTAGGGGTAAAGACGTATAGTTTTATATGTGGGTTTCGACTTTTACGCCTTGCAAGAGGCAGGGCAAAAATTTGAAAGTGTGTTGAGAGTTGAAGTAGGACAGACAAAAAAAAAATCAATTTGCATCACATTTATTGTGGTTGGAGGCTATTAGAATCAAGTGTCAATGTCAACTCTTTAATATATTTTTTTTTGATCGAAACTCTTTAATAGTAAGTGGCCCCAAAAAAGGTCATTTCACTTATAAAACCATTGATGTTACTTATAGACGTGTATATTAAATAATAGCCCGCGCCAACTAACGCGAAACTTAAAATCTCATTAATGAACGGTTGGAAGACTAGTGTTGCTATAAAAGCAAAGTATAACTAACTATGAACACTCCATAAATGTACCAAGGATTGAAAGAGAAGTTCTCTCTTAGAAGCTTGTACAAGTAGGAGCCACTATGCCAATTGGTGGTGCCAATTCAATGATTAAATGGAAATTTATCGTAAGAAGTACTTAAATCGTCGCCGTAGCATAGTGCGAGGATTAAAACTACAGCCACATAAAGTATAAGGACCAGAAGTGAACTCTGTCCAAATATAGGAATCGAAAATTGCATTTTCCCCTAGAAATTTATGTGTAATTTTTGCTATTCATGGCCAGGGTCTATGTGACAAAGTTGATTAATCCAAGGGCGATTCTTTTCTCGAAACTAAAAAACATTATTTTACTAGCGATTCACGTTTTGGTACGCACGTTCCGTTTTATTGTACATTATCAATTTGCGATTTGGGGCACTAAAATGAGAGCCCTGTACGTTTCAATACAAATAATCACGTTATTTACCTAAAATATACTTTCATGCTAATATTTTGTACTTGAAAATATAATCAAGCATAGAAATTCTCGTTACTCGAAACTTGGTGGCTTAGATATTTTTTGTGAAAATTTTTGGGTCTTCATAGTAAAACCCATCTTCCACAGTTACTATGTTTTGAAAAGCATTTTTGGTGAAAAATTTTGACTTTTGGTTTGGAGGGGTTTGCCTGTGACTTAATAACCAGCTCACTATAAATACGTTTTGGGTGTTAATTGGAGGTAGCCAGAGGCTTACTTCAATTGATTGTGACGTTATTTGCTTCTCAGATTTTTGGAATGAGTTAGACCGGAGTTTTAATGTTTCTTTAGGTAGTACAACGGCTAATTGAGATAATGCTTGTAATTATGATAATGTGGGAGGATTTTGAAGAGTAATAGGGAGTGATGTTCTTTCTTCTGTTATGTCTGCCCAAGTTTTTATCCGAGTTAGGGTTGATGGTTGTGCATGTGATTTGGTTTTGGTCTTGATGATTGTGAGGAAGATTTAGCTAGGAGTGAGTGGTTCTAGGTTCCGTATAGGTTCCACCTGAGACCTGGAACCTATCAAAGGGAACATATTTCTTAGTTTTTGGAACCTGAAACATATTTTATATATCTTAGAACCTGGAACCTACCATGTCACAAGTTCCAGGTTCCACCTGTATTATCAAATGAACAATTGCAGTGAATTATTACCTTTAATGACCACTACTTGCTGCTACGATCCACTGACCACAACTTATATTTAGAGACACGAAAAATATGAAACGTTAACAAGTCATTAAATGAAAGCTTAGACTAATAGTTCTAGATTATACTCATCATCTAACGCCATAGAACGCTGCAGAATCACTCGAAGACATAGATAAAAAAAATACAAAAAACTTGTTTAAGGTTTTGGAACCTAGAACCTGCTCGTCGAAATAAGTTTCTCAATTTTTAAAACCTGGAATCTACG